TTGATTAAGAAACACAACGATTTCAAAGCGAGCATTGGCAACACTGTACGGGAAAAATCATTTTTACCTCCAGCACATGAGACTGTGTAGCGGAAATTCCAAAGCTATGTTCTTTTAAAATTATTTTGTGATACTGCTGTTAAATGGAATTTTATGGTTTAAGTGCGAAAAGCAGTATATTTAATAAACAAAGGTAACACACAAAACCTAAAAAAGACGTAATATAAAATCCTTTAGACGTAATATAAAACTGAAAATCTCCTTCCCCTTTAGACGTAATATAAAATCTGAAGCTTTCATATTTTTTGTTACTTTATTTTTTATTATTCCATATTTGTAAACAATTATAAGCAACATTTATTACAACTGCATTTCTACTTGACGACTTTCTTGTCGGTGAAAAAGCAGCTGCCAAACGGCTAAGGCATAAAATCTAAACCTGAAAAACTTACATGCATTTATATTTCATAATCTTAAAAACTTAAAGAAAGAATATTTGCATTTGAATAAATTCAGGTAGCTTAGTTATTATGAGACACGAAAAGATTAACAATGTTCCTAGAAAATAAGAGTAAATGTTACAATTTTTTGCTTGCTGTCTACGATTTATTCTCCTTGTAATAAAATCTTCCTTAACCGTTAAATGCATGTAGTTGCCATTTCTCAACATACTCCTATTTAGTCATGTAAATGCATAGTGTAACCAATTGGATATATACTGTTTACGTGTATAATTTTGAAAGTTTCAGTGTGGTGGCACCATTAACGGTGTAACGATCATTATTGCATTATTGTGAATTGATGTACAAGGTGTGGACATCATTAGTGTTTACGAATTTTTGATTTAGTGGTTGTTGTTATTTTGATGTATTAAAAGTTTTAAAATTGTTTCAACAAGTTTATAAGGTATGTATTATTACATAAAATTGTTATAACTTATTTGCCTATCATATTTTTTGTAAAAGTTAGTAATACTTTCCAAAAATTGGAATAGAAACATAGTTTAGATATCTTTTAGTATATATCCTGTTTTATTTGATATCAATTCTACCGTGTTTTTGACTTTGTTGAGGCATTAGGTTATTTCGAAGCTGGAGACATGAAAAATGTGCAATGCCCTCGCCGGGACTCGAACCTCGGATCTCTCGAATACGCGCCGAGCGTGCTAACCATTACACCAAAAAGACATGCTAAGAAAGCGGAAGAAATACCTTAAACTTTAAAAATAAAAATAAAAAATCCTGCTTTTAAGGTTTAACTGAATATATTGACAACTTCATAAATTAAGACACAATAACACGCCGAATAAATACTAATTCAGAAGTCAAACAACAAAAATCAGCGTTATATTTACAAAATTTTTCACAGGACTAGTTTCGATGGTTTTACCGAACCACCATCTTCAGCTGCAAAACCGCAAATGAACAAGATAGGAAATAATGATTAGATAAAATAAGAAAGCCTGGACAAGAATAAGCAAGTGGCGCCATCTGTTGGCGAAACCAGAACTAAAAACATAATTTCTTTAAAGGCCGAAGGCAAATTTGGATTGGAATTAGGATCATTAACTAGAACAGAAAGATTTTTATGAATGTGAAATGCCTCTAGAAAATCCAGTTCTCCAATGGAAGATGTTTTTTGAATAATTTTGGCAGCAGAAAAACTGAAAGTGTGGTTTTCGGACCAACAATGTTGAGCAACAGAAGACTTCTGTGTTTCCTTTTTTCTAACATATGCCTCATGTTCCTTGACGCGAAATTTTAAGGCTCTCTTAGTTTGGCCAATGTAAATTAAACCACACTGGCATGGTGTCACTAAACTCTTAAACGAAGGACCATATAATCCGATCCCTAAAGATCCTTCACCTTCGGACTTGTCAAAAATAAAAACTGCGATCAAATCTTCGCAAATCATTTCAGGCAACTTAAAACATTCACTTATCCCATCTGTTGCGAATTGTGCCAGATTATATGCTGTTCCCAAAATTCATAAAAAGTGGTATTCCTTTCCGCCCTATTGTATCAAATTTAGGTACTGCCTCGTATCCATTAGCTAAATATTTAGTTTCTAGATTTTCAACTCTATTAGACAATAACATTTACACCATAAAAAATTCAATAGAGTTTGTAAAAAAGTTAAAAAAATTTTCTCCTAGTAATTTACTCATGGTTTCTTTTGATGTAAAAATCATTATTCACCAATGTCCCAGTGGAGGGTGCATTAAGATGTCTAGAAACCAGACTTCGCGAATTTCATTTCTCTTGCATCGAAATTGATGAACTAATTTCTCTCACTCAACTCTGTTTGAAACAAACACATTTTGTTTACCAAAATAAATATTACAAGCAAACTGAGGGATTAGCCCCCTCAGTCCCATCCTGGCTGATATCTACATGCATTATTATGAATCAATATTGTTTGAAACTTTAAACTTCCCAGCATGGTTCCGCTACGTAGACGATACTTTTACTCTGTTTGAAGGTAATAAAGATGATTTAAATAAAGTTCTTTCAACAATGAATTCTATTGATCCTGCTATTCAGTTCACTTTTAAACTTGAGACTTGCAATTCTCTTCCGTTTCTCGACATTCTGGTCACACGTAACACATCCAACTTCAGTACTACGGTTTACCGTAAACCTTCATCGGTTTGCCTTCCACCACACTTTAAATCATGTCATCCGACTAAACAAAAGTTAGCTTCATTTTATTCCTATGTTTTCCGTGCTCTTCAAGTTTGCTCCTCCAAACTAGCCCTTGATGAAGAACTAAATTATTTAAAAGCAATAGCTATTGACAGGGGCTTTCCACCCAACATTATTAATCAAGCAGTAAAAAATTCTCATCTCAACACACTAAGGCACACTCTTGTTTTAGGAGCTTATAAAAATTCTGTTGTCATTCCCTTTTTTCCATCAATTAGCTATAAAGTTGCACATATTTTGCAGAAATTTAACTTTCGGATTGTTTATTCTCCCGTCAATAAAATGCCGAGTTCCATACTCAAGGACCCCATTCCGGATATGAATTCCTGGGGTATTTATAGGATTCTTTGCCAGTGTGGTTTAATTTACATTGGCCAAACTAAGAGAGCCTTAAAATTTCGCGTCAAGGAACATGAGGCATATGTTAGAAAAAAGGAAACACAGAAGTCTTCTGTTGCTCAACATTGTTGGTCCGAAAACCACACTTTCAGTTTTTCTGCTGCCAAAATTATTCAAAAAACATCTTCCATTGGAGAACTGGATTTTCTAGAGGCATTTCACATTCATAAAAATCTTTCTGTTCTAGTTAATGATCCTAATTCCAATCCAAATTTGCCTTCGGCCTTTAAAGAAATTATGTTTTAGTTCTGGTTTCGCCAACAGATAGCGCCACTTGCTTATTCTTGTCCAGGCTTTCTTATTTTATCTAATCATTATTTCCTATCTTGTTCATTTGCGGTTTTGCAGCTGAAGATGGTGGTTCGGTAAAACCATCGAAACTAGTCCTGTGAAAATTTTGTAAATATAACGCTGATTTTTGTTGTTTGACTTCTGAATTAACTTCATAAATATTTATCTAATTTAAATGCTAGCTAATAAAGTTAGGGAACTACTCTTACATACGCCCTCGCTAGGCGACAAATTTCTCGCCAAATATTTTTGCCGAGAAACGCCACGTTTCCATATTACTATCTAAATTTTTTGTCTACATTTCGAACTTTAAGCCTAAAATGTCTACAAAAACGCGGTTTTCGCACGTGCAAAAACCACGTTTTAAACACACAATTTAAGCTAAAAATCCGAAAAAAAAAATAGATAGCAAAAACGTAAAGCTTCTAACCAAAAATATTTGACAAGAACTCATGTGCACAGCGATAGGTTTTAACTTAAAGAAAAAAAAAAAAAAAAAACCGCAGAATTGCACAGTTTATGCAGTGAAGGAATCCACAAACTACGCACACTTAGCTTAAATAAATTAACATAACGACAATAAATTTCAAAGAATACCATCTACACAGTGTTCTGTTTAAACTTTAAAAAACATCTACGAATTGCACAATCAACGCATTGCGCACTAATCAACAAAATAAACTAAAATAAATTTCAAACAATTAAAAAAAACAACAATAATGATAGAAATTCATACTAAAAATACAATGAACATTCTACAAAATAAGAACAAAAATAAAATAAAATGCAGTTACCATGAATGAATGCTTCTTCGACAGCAGAAATACCAATTTCAAACATCACCAAAACAATTTCACCACAAATTTGTTAAAAGCATCTTCTCCATTCTGAGAACAACGATGAAAAAATATATAAACCACCAAATAAAACACAAAATCGCATTTCCGATTTTAAGTAGGCAACGTAGCTTTAACATGCCGCCACGTAATCTCTATCGTATTTATATGACAGCCAGACTCACTATCCACAAAACTGATACTATCTTTCACAAATAAATGTTCAAAACCTTCTTCTCCTAAATACTTGAATAATTTCCAGCCACCCGAAAAAATAGTTGTACCAGGTACGCGACTAAAATTTTGACAACACGTAATAAATCACTTAATTACCATACACCACACGAACCAATTAGTAAACCCAAGTTTTCACGTAAAAAGGGTTGCCACAGAAACCAGCATCGCCTCCAAAACCATCACAGAACACGCAAGCTCACCAAAAACCAGCGTACAACACATATCGCCGCATTCGGCGACTTTAGGGTGTATATAAGAGTAGAGCCAAAGTTAATAATAATTATTTCTCCTGGAAGTTATTTTCTCTTTGAATACAGAAACTATTTTTCTGGACCTGAAATATTAAATGAAAAGTTTCCACATGCAACATAGTAACTGTCTCTATTAGAATGTGCTCTGTCGAATATCGCTGGCCAGCACAAAATCAGGTTCAGTATGTTACACTTGAACTCTAAATCATTGTTTCTTTGGAAAATAACTGCTGAAACTAAACAAATTATACAGAATTAAAGCTTTCATTTGTTCATTTTAGAACTGTATTCCTTTACGGATCAAAGGAGTGCACTTAGTCAATGAACCCTGCTTTTACCAAATATTTTTCGAAATTATAAAAGTTGGTATACCGAAAAAGCTAAGAGAAAGGGTAAGTAATTCATTTAAATTGTCTCTTTTTTTTTTTTTTTTAGTCCAAAAGGATTTGAATCCCGAAGGACTATTAGTTTCGTTTTGGCATTTTGCGTCGGACTCATAAATGTCGGTTCACTTTTCAAACTGTTGCCACAAAATGTTAGAGTCCTGCATTATATTTGAAGAAATTAAAATAATGAAAAATCTGCATCAATGTATGTATATTTCTCGTATTGTGATAAAACAACGGTACATAGAGTCATCGAATTTTGAATAACGTAATCCTCCAACGAATATGAGCATGTGGAAGACCCAATTTGAAATTTGAAATTTGTTTTATGATCGATTTCCTATTTTTTAAAAACTTTGACGAATTTTTGATTAACAAACTCAAGGATTTCAAAGCGAGCAATGGCAACGTTGTGCAGAAAAAACATTTTTATCTCCAGCACGTGAGTCTCTGTATCGGAAATTCTAAAGATATGTTCGTTTTAAAACTATTTTGCGATATTGCTGTTGCACTGGATCTTATGGTTTGAGTGCGAGGAACATGATATTCAATAAAGAAAGGTAACACACAAAATGTTAAAAAACGCCCCTTTGGACGTAATTTAAAATCTGAAACATTTCAGATTTTTTTTTTTTTTTTTTTTTGTAACTGAATTTCAGTAATGAAAATGAAACTAATTTATAAGATTTCATGACATGTAAAGAGATTACATGTAGAGAGTGTGTATCTAAAAAGATACGCACTTTTTAGACGATTTACATTGTATTTACGTAAATGTTTTACCTAAATTTTGTGTTTTAAATGTTCTTTTCGATAACCCTTATTCTTCACTATGTTTCTACACCGTAATTTTCAAGACAGTAAAGCTTTTTATAGTATCGCAAGAGGTATTTTATCCCATTTCTCTTGAATAGCTTTCCAAAGTTCAAGAAGGGTTATAGGTCGACGTTTGGACAATTTGCTTTTTAAACGTCCAAAAGGTCAAAATCCATGGTGATTTAGAATGGATATGAGGGAAGGGTACGGCTTTGATATCCATTTCTCATTCCATTTTCTCCAGAAAGTTAATAATGGATTTTGACTTGTGGCTACTTGCTTTCTCTTGATGCAGTTCTGCTGATTGAGGGCATTATGGGTAAAGAGAAATTATTTCGTAATTAAAAGTTGGGCATCAGATATGTTCCTGATAATATATGGAGTTGATCTTTATTATCACGCCTATATGGCCAAAAGGCGTATCTCCTGGCGAAGAAATGCAAGGGGAAGTTGAGGAGTTCAGGAAACATAACAAAAATTTGAAAAATTGATTATTTGAACTAAGGAAGTCCCTACAAATAAATGGATCTCTTTTTATTTGCAGTCATTTAAATACATCCAAGCTTCATCCATTGCGATAAAATTTTTCTATTTTTGTCCGAATAAATGTTTCTCATAAAGAATTCTGCAGCACGTTTTTTTTTTTTTTTTTTTTTTTTTTTTTTTTTTTGCGTTCGGAGACATGTCGCGAATAAAGACTATGCACATTATGTTTTTTCACCTTTTTTTAAGATTAAAATCAGCATTTGTTTATAGTTCACACTGAATATTTTAAAGATTTTGTAAATGTATAGTGTCTGAGCTGCATGGGGCACTCTAAATATGCAGCTAGCGGAAAGCCCTCTCGATACGTTGATGGTAGGGAAAGAGGGGGGTGGGAGACCTCCCTCAGTATGCTGTCTTTTGCAATGGAAGGGTGGACTTGAGAAGTCGGGCGGGTGTCACGTATATGGTGCTCGAGGCTCTTGCCAATCACAGGCGCTTTGGACTGCGTGCTGACCATTGCCAGATAAGTGAGACTGGTAAAAACAACAAGTGGTAAAATTAGTAGAAAAAGTGGGAAATATATGAGTAAATATGGTATTACTAATAATTAATATAATACTAAAATATAACTAAATTTAATAATATTACTAAATTATTACTAAATTAAATATTACTAAATTTCTGGTAAATATTACTAAATTTCTGGTAAAAAAATGGGCATATAGCATTTTTGAACCAGATCTATGTTCGCTAGCACAATCAAAATTCTCCTAACAGCAGTAGTCTTGGTCGTTACACGTCCAGAAAGTCATTTCAGAGCACATGGTATTAAGACTCAAACAATGTAGTATATAATTTCAACGCATGTTCCTAATTAGCCCAAAGGGCGTTAGCTCAGAAGGGCTATTAATTTCGTTTTGGCATTTTGCGTCGAAAACTTTTAATGTCCGTTCCACTTTTCATATTGTTACCACCAAATATTATCACCCTGTGTTATATTTAAAAAAGTTAAATAATAGATAATCTGCATAATATGTATACGTAGCGTATTCGAAAACTAAGTACCGTTTCATTCTAGCGCCGTCGCAGCGCTGTGGTAGGCGTCCCGCGCATGCGCACTAGTCTTTCTTGTTCACTGACTTTCAATTGTCGCCATTTTGGTTGCTCTATGTTCTGTTTTCAGTTTGCTGTGCACATTCAAAATGTTTAAGACAATTAGTTCTCCCGCCGACTGTGAGATTCGTGCCGTGATTAAATTTTTGAACTCGAGGAATGTTAAACCGAAATTTATCGTCAAGTGACAGAAGTTTAGGTGAATACGCGATAAGTGATGGAATGGTGAGAAAGTGGGTAAGAATGTTTAATGCAGGTCGAACAAATGTCCACGCCGAGGCTCAGAGTGGTCAGCCTTCTGTTGTCACCGATGATTTGATAAGGAAAGTTGATGAAGCAATTCATGACAACAGACGCTTCACAATGTCAACTCTTTCAGAGGCATTTCCACAAATTTCACGTACTGTTTTGTTCGAAATTGTGTCTGACCACTTGAATTATCGCAAACTGTGTTCCCGATGGGTTCCAAAAATGCTCACTGATGTTCACAAAACAAAGCGACTTGGTAGTGCCCTGACATTTCTCACGCTGTACAGTGATGAGGGAGAAAACATTTTGAACGAAATTGTGACAGGTGATGAAACTTGGGCGTGTCATTTCACACCAGAATCGAAACAACAATCGATGGAGTGGAGACACACTCGTTCTCCAAAAAAACAAAAGTTCAAAGTGACAATGTCATCACAAAACATCATGTGCATTGTCTTCTGGGATAGGAAAGGCGTTTTGCTTACTGAATTTCTTCCCAGAGGTGAAACCATTAACGCGGCACGATATTGTGAGACTTTAACAAAACTAAGACGTGCCATTCAAAACAAACGAAGAGGAATGCTCAATAAAAGAATTGTGTTGCTTCATGACAATGTTCGGCCCCATACTGCTGGTGTCACTCAATCGTTAATTCGACAGTTTCATTGGGAGCAGTTCGATCACCCGCCGTACAGCCCGGACTTGGCGCCGTCCGACTATCACTTGTTCCTGCACATGAAGCGCGAGCTTGGTGGCAAGCGCTTTGGATCTGACGATGACACGAAAAATGCTGTGGAGTCGTGGTTATCGAAACTGGCGGGAAGTTTCTTTGACGATGGCATACAAAAACTGGTCATCCGCTATGACAAGTGTTTGATCATTGGCGGAGACTATGTTGAAAAATAGTTTAAGACATGTATATTCACGTAAAAATAAAATTGGATTCGAAAAAATTGTTTTACTTTTTTTTTTTTTTCAAAAACGGTACTTAGTTTCTGAATACACCTCGTACGTTTCTCGCATTGGGATAAAACAACGGTACCTACAGCCATCCAACTTTGGATAACGTAATCCTCTTTGGAATCTGGAATTTGTTTTATTATCGATTTCATATTTTGTAACACTTTAACGAATTCTTGATTAACAAACTCAACTATTTCAAAGCGAACAATTGCAAACTGTACGGAGAAAAAAATATTTTTTATATCCAGTGCACGAGACTGTGTATCGGAAATTCTAAAGATATGCTTATTTTAAAATCATTTTAAAATTATTTTACGATATTGCCGTTGAATTGAATTTTATGGTTTAAGTACGAACAACGTGATGTTTAATAAATAAAGTTAACACACAAAAGGTTAAAAAAAACGACTCTTCTCTGAAATCTGAGAGCTTTCAGTTTAAAAATAAATAAATAAGTTCAAAAGGGGCTATTAGTCTCCAAATGGGATTTTCTGTTGGTTCACTATAAACAGCGAATCACTTTTCAAATTATGCTTTTACTTAATATCATTTCATTAAGTTTACTTGAAGTTAGCATTGTTAAATATATTCTCCTTTGTTCCCCTCAGAAATGTAATGATAATTACAAAGAAATTACTCAGAAATGACGATTAAGAAAACAATTAACAATGTTCGTCTTAAATTTGTTCCCTTAGATGTTCTTGCATGGAAGAAAGATTGAAAGCCTCCACAAGTTCATTCCTCCTGAAATCCTTCCAAATGAGCTAGGTGGCAAGACGGGGCCCTTCGACAGCACAGAAATGTTCAACTATGTTTTGGGGCATGAACCTCTCGTTGAAGAGATGAATAAATGTGGATTTAAGAAGTGAACATTCAGAAAGATTGGATAATAAATAAATGTAGCTATCATTTACTCAGTTTTGATAAGCGATGTCAATTCTATCAATTCATTTTCGTAAATACATGCGAAAAAATGTGTAATTGTATTTATTGATAAATTAACATCCTATAGCAAGTACAGTTATAATAGAAACAATACAACTACTAAAGTCCTCGCAAACTACTACCTGATATGTCTTACAACAAAGCAACAACCAATAATACCGCAAACTTCGCTGCACTTCTAAATTATAAAATCTTAAAGGACGATTTTTTTCCATCGACCTTATGCTGCACATCTTCTACGGCAAAATGGATGACATGAGGTTTCACGCAGTGGCTATTTACACCATAAAGGCTATTCACACCAAGGAGGTTAGAATAGAAGGAGGGAGGGTTCGCAGTTTCCTCCACTATCGGGGAATGAAACTCCACGGAACAAGCGGCGTCCATGTTTGTTACTTCAAAACATTGCAATACGGTAGTGAAACGTACGTGTTTGTAAGCTGTTCTATGCATGAATTTTCCAGTAAAAATATGTTAAATTTATAATGAAATGCTTCGCTATTGTTAGTTTTTTTTGTTTTTAAAGTTATAAAGGTGATATCTGTAATTTACTAAGTACAGAAAATCATTAAGAAATATTTTCGAAATCTAAATGCATGTGCATAACATTAAAGCCTTTACAAATTATGTTTCTGCATAATTTCAAGAATTTGTTTAGGTTTTATTAGCAACTTCTCTGGTATACTTTCCAATTGTTTCTTTCTTCAAACTTCAGTATGTTAAAGATTGATATTTTATGAAAATGTATTATATTGGTTAATTTTAATATTCGGGGTCATAACAAAGTTTTTGTCTTTATAATTAATATCGCAGGAAGATTAAAATACATTTTATTAATTTTACAAGAATAATTTATGTTGTGAATATTCCAAACATGTAATATTAAAGAATATTTGTTTCTGTCGAATAATGTGAGTGAGAATATGTATTTGGCTACGGGAAGGTTACCTTTAAAATTAATTTCATTGGTTAAAAAGGCTTTTTTACAAAAAGTAGACAGTTATTTTAAATGGTTGACTCTGTTTCAAACGATTCACATATACCTTGAAAAGATGACACATACTTTATGTGGTATAAGTGTTAATGGTGGTTTATAATAGAGCTAAATAGACAAAGGAATAAAAGGGGGGTTGGTAAGAGGGAATGTAACAGACTCTTAGACTGCGAGCTTAGCGACAGCATAAAAACTTTAATCCTCTTGGGCGACCGATAAAATCGTAATTCTTTCAGAATTTTGATTGCTATTGCTTTTATTTTAAATATTTTTCACCATTATTTGCAGCTACATTGAATATTTTAGAATATTATTTCCGGGTGCTTTTCGCGTGTGAAAATACACATGGTACTAAATTAAAATTTACTTTTGATTTATTCATAACTAAATTATAAGTGACCCTTATGGTTACAAATGTGTTGAATCTTTACATTTCATGAGTTAAATGCGTATTTGCACGGCATGAATTGCGGTAGGAGGAGTATTTAGTCTAAAAGACTTTGACTCCTAAAGTAGTTACCCTACGGGGTATTATGTCGTAGTGGGGAAGGAGATCCACTTTATGATTTTAAAGTGGAGAATTTTTTAGTCCTAGTTGTAGAAAAAATGCAATTATTATGGTAGTTCTGCTCGTGCTGATGTGCTGTGCATTTGCAGCAATGAATATAACAAAGTTTTATCTGTGGCGCCCTTCGTTGGTGAACCTATGAAATAAAAACCATTTAAAGTTTTGAGGTACAATCGTATAATGCATTATATAAAATAAATGTAATGTACTAAATTTTGAAGCGAAATTTGCACAATTTATTCTTCAGATCTGAAATCATAACTTAGTATTTATAGGAATAAGAAAATCTTCTGTAGTTTCAGAATTGCTATTACGGCGATGTAGAAAATATTAGTAGAAAGTTAAAAAAATATAAAAATATCAATTTAAGTAGATTATGAGTACAAACACATCAACAAAAAGACCTCATTTAAACCGTTATTATTTTATCTGGCGTTTAAAAGATAAATTTTTGTTTTATTCGGCACAACGAAATCCATCCTTTTTAAGCTACCTAGATATATGCGAAATTCCACGATTCTCTGACCGTCGCAAAGACTTGGATTTCAGGTCTTTGCTTACATTTTTCTTTTAAGCAGAAATATCGGTTTCGCTTTGTCATACTACATTCTCGTCGCAAAATGCGTAAGATGTTGGGTCATGCGACGTCGTTTTTGAAATGCGTTGTAAAAAGTGCACCTGTAAATTTCATTCTAAATAAAAAAAATAAAATAAAAAAATTGAAATAATAATAATAATAATAAAAAAACGCAAGTACAAATGCTTTATTTTACTCATTTATACATTTTTGTAATTTTTCACAATTTTATTTAAAATACTGTAATTTTATGTTTGCTATATACTTTATTATTATTCGACACCATAAATATTGAAGAGTATACATATTCACTTCTAACAAAATTGGCTGTTATAACTGATACAAGGACAGAGAATGGAAAAATATTCACCAAAAGAAATTAGGAAAAAAACACGCAAAAAATAAGTTAAAGAATATATATATTTCTCACTTACGTATTTTTTTAAACCAAGTGTTTAAAATAGTTGTTAGGAAAAAAATATACAATTATAATGAGTCCTAGATTGATTTGACATGTCCAACTAGCAATTAATAATAAAAGACACAAAGAACTTGTTGAAAGAACTAGTTGATTTTAAATCGCTTAATTTGGTTATCAGTAAGAGGCAGGTTATATACTGTAAAGACTGGAGAAAAAAAAAGTATTTTATGCTTCGCCGAATGGAAACAAATTGGAGCGTGAACATATTTCTTTGAAATTGCTGGTTTTGATGAAATTTGAAAGACAAATATCATAAGTCTTGCAGAGTGGCCATCTATTGCTTTGAAATCGCCAAGTTTGTTAATGAAAGTTAGTGCAAAGTATTAACTTTGCAAAAAGTAAATCTAAAAACTCGAAATTCGATGCGCACGTGACCAGGTGTATGATAATATGTAGTCAAAACGGTGATCGTGAAATTTTAAATTGCCTTACGTGTGTTAAAATACTGCTAAGATTTTTTAGCAAATATCAATTTTAAAATTAGGTTAAGGCTTTCCATTTTGTTCTTTTTCTTTAATAAACATTAATTTATATTGCATTTATAGTAATTACGCACATGCTATTTAAAAGGAAAGATTCAATAGAGAGTTTCTTGCAAAACTGATATCTTTTTTAATGATGTAGTATAAAAATTGTCATAATTTTAAATAGTTTTAGTATTAATGTATTTAAATACAAGGTTATTTATAATTACATGACGTGAAACATTTCAGTTTTTTAATGTGTCAGATTTGTTTCACATACAGCTTTGCGAATTGAGCAGACATTTATTTATGTGGTATGCCAAGATTTATTTGAATGCCACGAAAATGCCGTAGATGCGAACAAAAAGCTGACTGATACCACAGTTGCATGAAAATAATGGCAGATTCCTCTTTGAAGTCTCAGCTTGTCCTTCAATACGAGAGAAAGTAATATCGATATGTTTTCCAAAGTATCAAAATTTGCCACAAAGCAGAGATGGTTGAGGAAAGTATCTGATTTTCAGTTTGCCACTGTAATGGGATGCAGGAGTAAATATAAGGCACTTTATGAAACATGCTAAGCCTAATTTTATATTTTTTTGGTTGCTTTAATTAGAAATATTCTGTATTTTTTAAAAGCGGCATTTTTCTTCTTCATTTTTAGCAGTTTCTTAAACCACTTGGAATTTCTCTGATATAGGGGGCTCCACTGCTGCTTCTACAGGATGAGCTGGAAAAGAAAGAATTTTACTTACAAAAAGTGTTAACTGTATTTTGGATAGCTAGTCCGTAAGACGTAAGACGTTTGGCCTCATCTGGCCGCAAACACTACCAGGCATTGATTCAATAATTTTCTGGAATTTTACATCTTTCCCCTAAAGTTTCTCAATAGGATTAAGTCATTTAGGGTTTCTAGGTAACTAATTCATGACGCAGAAGTCAGAGGCATGGTGATGTCAGCATGCAGTAGGCAACTGGGACCTGTGAGAGGTGCAATTATCTTGCTGGAATACTGAATTTCCGTATGAAAGACAGGTGACGGAGGATGGGAACGCCTGAAGTTTAACAGAGGTTAACAGGCATATGTTATATAGCCCTACAGGGGCAACTGTTGAACATCTAGTAGTTGAGGTACATTTGCATTAACTTGTTGATACAGGCATGGTTAAAGAAACACTTAATAGGTTATATAAATGGATAGAGAAGATTGGCCAGCAACTCCACGTACCGAAGCATACGGAGGGAGATTGATACAAGTAGCAAAACACCGAAATAGTGCCAAAGAGAAAACAGCCCAAACCATGATTAAGTCGCCATGGCCTGGCATGCAGGATCCATTGCTTCATGAGCATGACGCCTTATTCTGAGTGTGTCGTCGTTTTTAAGACTGATTACTTCCTCATACCAGTTTCCAGAGTATTCCAGAGTCCATTTTCCGTGTTCTGTTGCTCAGGGAATACTCGCAGCTAGATCAACATACACAGAGCAATGGTTCTTTCTTGGGCACCCGAAGCACTTATGAAGAAATGTGGGTCGCATAGTCGGTTTACTGACTGAGCTGGGTGATAATTTAAGGTAATGTTTGGCTTGGCTGGCAATGCAGAACTGGGGTGAGACGTCTTTGGAATTTGCTCGCTTGCTATGTATTTTCTTGCTAACCCGGTATTCGGGGAAAAGTATTTGACAATGTCAACCCTATCTCTGTGACACTTTAGGGAACGGAAGAGCAACGTGTGTGGAAAGCGTCGGTGATCAAAGGTGTGTAAAAATTTGAGTACCATAGTACTAGATACACAGGGGTTATCTTACGAAATAAGAGAGAGGGAGGGAGGGAGGGAGTGTGTGTGTGTGTGAGTGGGAGAGTGTGTGTGAGTGCGAGTATGCGAGTCAAAGAGAGAGTATGAGAGTGCGAGAGCGAGAGAGAATGCCTGTGAGTCAAAGAGTTAGTGTGTGATTGTGAGAGCAAGAGAGTTTGTGAGTGCAAGAGTGCCAGAGAGACTGTGTACGTGCCAGAAAGTATGTGACTGAGTGAGAGTGTGTGTGGGTGTGAGGAGTGTTTGAGAGAGAAAGTGCAATCACACACTCTCTCACAGTCACACACTCTCTCGACTGTGAGAGAGTGTGAGCGAGAGCTAGAGAAAGTGGGAGTGTGAGCGAGAGCTAGAGAAAGTGGGAGTGTGAGTATGAGTGCAAGAGAGAGAGTGAGTGGGTGCGAGAAAGTGTGTGTGTGCACGAGTGCGAGAGTGATAGAGAAAGAGCGAGTGAGAGGATGAGTGGAAGAGAGAGAGTGAGTGTGAGGAACGTTTGAGAGAATATACTCTTTCTCGTGACACACAGTCTTTCGCACTCCCTCTCCCTCTCTCTTGACTGCAAGAGGGAGTGTGTTTGAGTGTGCGAGACAGAGTGCACTCTCTCTAGCACTCACACACACTCGAGTGCGAGTGAGAGTTGAGTGTAAGAGACAGTGAGTGGGTGTGAGGAGGGTTTGAGAGAGAGTACTCTCTCTAGCACAATCACTCTCGCTCTCACACTTTCTCTCTCTCTCTCTCGAGTGCGAGAGGGAGTGAGTGTGTGCAAGTGTGAGAGCAACAGAGAGTGAGTGAGAGTATGAGTGCAAGAGAGTGAGTGGGTGTGAAGAACATGTGAGATACTCTCTCTCGCTCACACACCTCTCTTTCACTCCCCCTCTCTCGAGTGCGACAGAGTGCGTGAGAGAGTGTGTGAAACTACGGAAGAGAGAGTGCACGTGAGTGAGAGTATGAGTGCAAGAGAGAGAAAGTGAGTGAGTGAGTGTGAGGAGCATTTGAGAGAGTATACTCTCTCTCGCACTCACACACTTTCTCCACACTCTCTCGGGTGCGAGAGAGTGTGGAGAAACATTTATATGCGAGAGAGTGAGTGAGAGTAAGTGGATGTAAGGAGCGTTTGAGAGAGTATACTTCTCAACGCTCCTCACATCCACTCACTCTCCCTCTCGCACATACACGCACACTCTCTCTCTCGCAGAGAGACAGGGAGTGGAGAAAGTGTGCGACGAGAGAGAGTATCTCTCAAACGCTCCTCGCAATCACTCACTTTCTCATTTCTATGACACTGCACGTAAGGAAAATACTGGTGCCGGTTGTACTGTGAAGGATATTTTGCGGAATCCTATTCTGTTGATCTGAATGCCTCTAACTTCGACGCAGAGATTTTTGCCACAGGAAAGGCAATTTTAAATCTTCTTGTACCTGATACTAACTTTAGCAAGGCAGTTATATTTGCTCACTCCCGAGTGGGCAGCTGTCTCATACACCTACTGATTACTTTCTTGTTGAAGAGACCAAGATAAATGTATCCAATGCAATGGCTTTTGGCTCGGAGCTTGTTTTTCAATGGATCCCCAGCCACTGGAAATGAAAAAGCCCATCTTCTGCCTAAAAATGGCTGTAGGCTGTAAGCTATCCTGGCGCAGCCCTTGTTTGTCATAAAATCTTGTCGATTAGGTGGATGAGGCTGCGCCCTATTTGTACCCTAGCCACATTATGCTATAATGATTTGAAATCTGAATGATAAAAATGCCACATTTCTCACTCTCCAATTAACAGTTTAGTTCTGAGGCAAAGAGGAAAGTGGACCAACTTTTAAATGTATAAACTCCTTTCAACCGATAAAGTGTGGAATACTCTTGTATTTTCGCCTATCCCAGTGGACATACCCCGTGCATTCTTTACGGCAAATTTTCAACTCTCGACAAGACATTTTATATAAATACCTGCACCGCATTGGTGTAGTTGCTGATGATGTCCGTCCGGTGAAACCATGGACTTTCTTCATTTGACAACTTGTACTGCACTTCATTTTATGATTTTAATTCTGACAACTTTCCAAAGGCTAAATTTTAATGGGGGCTGCCAGAGGTTTCATGGCAGATATCGCTACAGACTGACATAGGGAAGAGCATCTTAGCTGCATTTAAAAAGAGCATAAAAATGTGTTATCATACTTACTTTGACAGTTCCCATCGTAAAAGGTGACGTCATCAAGAGCAAAGTTTCCATCAGTGGTTTCACCTTCAAATTCAATCTGCATTGAAATAGATAATAATAAACTTGTTAGAGAAGATTTCAATTAAATTCATAGTAAATATATAATGTGCACACCATGCGACTGCCTTGTACTGACTATTGAAATTTTACTTTTTAAAATTCCTACTATCAGCTCACACTCAACCAATATCTTGTGCAAATTTTCAATTGTTAATAAAATACTTTCTATTCGTCCACTGAAGTTCAAATACATTTTTTTTAAAGTTGTAGTTCATGACACTTGATGTTAATATAATTTTTTCACATATTTAAAATTTTGTTGTATTTTTAAAATGTTTCTGTGTTGATCTAAGTAGGAATTGACTTTAGACAATTTTTTTATATTACTTGTATCCCTGCAATTTCTTTAGACTTATTTCCTCGAATTTCATTAGAAATGCATTTCTGTTACAATCAATCACTTCGCAGCAATGCAAAAGTACATAAACACTTCAAACATCTTCATTCGAAATTGTTAAATACAGAAAAATCTAAAATACCAAATACAGTAAACAACCCAAACAAAGTGAATTTATTGGTTAGCAAGTGTGAAGCGACGCCACTAAGAAAAATCACTCTTCCAAAACTAGAATTATTCGGCGCTTTGCTTGCCGCTCAGTTAGCAAGCAAAGTCAAGGAAATGGTGCATTTAAAAAAAGGCGCTCCTTGGTGTTTTTTGGACGGATTCAAAAATCACTCTGTTGGATTAAGAGGACAACAAAATGATAGAAATCATTTGCTGCCAACAGAGTTAACGAAATATAGGGTTTAAGTGATACCAGTGCCCTGGGAAAGAAAATCTCGCAGATCTCAGCAGGAGAGTTGGTGCTGACATTTTATTGAATAGGTAACATTTGGTGGCAAGGACCAGTTTCTGAGAGAAAAGACTGATGTTTCTGTAGACAATAATGACATTCTAATTTTTTTAGATGATTTTTTTGATGAACTAAAGAAAGCCAGTGATCCTAATGATTATTCTCCTACTGTCTTTATTGTTTTTAATCATAGTTCTATAGCTGATATTCTTTCCTTGAGTAATAATTAACTCTATTGTTCATGTTATGTATTTATATTTATCAATAATGTTAAAACTAATGAAAAGCTTACCTGAAAAAAAAGGGAAACATTTTAAGATCTACGCAAGTACAAAAGTACGAGTTATTTTCATAATGAAAGGGAAAAACTGTTCCTGATCAGAATTTTCTTTAATTTCTAAAGACAACATTTTAAGTCAAAATACACAAAGTAATACATATAAGATGTACAGCATTTATTTCATAATAATTTGCACTGTTCAGCAGCAAAGTCCTCCTTATAAAAACAGAGGTATCCTGCATAATTTTCACCTATTTTAATTTCAAACTAACCTTAAAAAAGTCTGGATTGCTCATTGTTTTTGAGAAATGATTTGTTTTCTATAGAGAAAGCAGTTTTTAAGCAGAAAAGGCACTAACGTGAAGCAAACTGTGTATCTGTTGAATACGAATACTGTTGCATTGCTTTAAATTTATCTTTTACAGAATGGCAATGAAAATATTGTTTACTTTAAATATGAATCTCTTAATTCTGAGGATAAATTTGATCATTTATTTCAATGCATGAAACCGAACTCGCCAGCTTATTAGAAGATTTTGCTCTCTAAAGAGAATTATGGAAAAGCTATTGAGCTTTTTAAATCTTATTTGGCAAGGAAGAGTTTTTAATTGAATATTACATATGTGAAATCAAGTGTATCCGAGTTAAAATGACAGGCAAATAGTTATTATTGCAGGAGTTAAAGCAATAAGAATTAGCACAATATTTATAAATTCACAGGACTAGTTTTGAAGGTTTAATATAGAAACTCCTTCTTCAACTGCAGAAGTGCAAATGATGAAGGAAAAAGCAGTAATAAGATTAGGCAATAAGAATGATAAGAAGGATGTCAAGCTGCTGGCACCCTCTACTGATGATGAAAAATGAAAACAGCTGTCAAATAATTTCATTAGAAACTGAGGGTAAAGACAAGACGGATTGGAACTGGGATTGCTAACTAGAACTGAAAGATTTATATCAAAGTGAAATGCCTTTAGAAAATCTAATTTAAATAATCTTAAATAAAATTATTAATAATTAATCTTAAAATAATTTAATAACTTAAAATTTTAGAATATTGCACATGTTTATGGAGCTCAGTAATAATCATATCAATACATAATATAGTATAGAATACTGTTATTTATGCTGCATTGTTATGAAGAATATTTTATGTAAAGAAGCTGTAAGAAAATTGAAGCACATATGCTTCAATTCAAGGACTAGGAAGGAAGAGGGTACTGAAGGATGATTGCTACATGGGGGGCTGGTTGGGCAAAGCACTCAAGAGCTATCTGCCCAAGATAGAAGAGATGCCTTCTTCCCTTTGTGGAGGGCTTTTTATGGAACACTGGTTCATATACACATTATACATGGGAAAAACTACAAAAAAACACCCATGCAGCCATGCCCCATCTTCAACGGAATTTGAACTCAAGACCAATTTACCAGTGTTCAGCATTACTTGGCTGCTAGTGGACCCCTACACTGGGGGAAGAGGAAGTTGGAATCATGAGTCTTTCACTAATCAAGCATGTCTGAGACATAGTAGGCCGCCAGATTCGGGCACCACAAAATATCGCAGATCTGGAGTGACAACTGATGAATGCCTGGCAAAATGTGTCGCTGGATGACATTAGGAATCTCTACCACTCCTTGCCTCAACGAATTCAAGCATGCGTTGCCACCAGGGGCGGTTCGACCAACTACAGTCAAAAGTCGTTAATCCGGACTCGTCGGGACTTCGGCGATTCCGGATTATAGATCACCAATTTAAATCTGGTAAAATGGCATGCAGAAATTATAAAATTAAAAATATGAAACCGTAATTAATGAAATAAAGAACAATTATGATATAAAGGGTATCAAAATTTACAAAATAAAAGCTTAATATTTATTTGTTTACTTTATTCATTTCTTCCAACGCGCGCATGCGTAAAGCATACATTACGCATAGTCGAAATTAGAAAATTGCAACCAGAAAAACTATTTGATGTGTACTCGTGATATTTATAATGACGAAGGAATTTGATTTAAATCATATCAAAGACGGAATACATCGAGATGAAATACTACATTTAGTACGGAATTATAAGCTGAATAAAATAAAAACATCTGCCCTGAAAATAAGGATGGTGCTAACAGATCAACTTCCAGTTCATTGCGTGCCGCGATGTCCCCTCCCCACCCCCCGCAGAGCAGCGTGAAATTGATAAACAGATTTCGGAATGGTTAAGAAACAAAGATATGCCTTTATCCATTTTTTGCAGCAATTCCACTTTTTGTTTCATGGACTTCGAAACATACTTTCGCTTTGTAGATCCTTTACATATTAGTAAATATATATCGGAAATTCTATTTGACATAATCGAAAGTTCAAGCTTACTTTTATAAAATTGCTCTAACAGTCTGCAAAAAAATAATAAGCCGTATCCAATTTGAAGATTAAGGAACAATGCAATCTGCAACATTAACTGAATTAGATCATTTTAGCTTAGCTTATACCGTCCGTTATACATTAAACGTGCATGCGTAAACGTATTATGCGCATGCGCACACGCATATTCGCAGCCGTAAAGGTCTTACGCGCACGTGTAAACGCGATGCATGCGCAGAAAGTTTGTAACTTTGAGGTCCGGATTATAGATTATTCCAGATTATGGCTCTCCGAATTAACGACTTTTGACTGTACTATAGAATTTGAACATTCAGTGGGTGACTGTGAGCCATGAACAGGTACTATGACCTTAATTTTTTCATTATTTTATTATCTATGTATGAGCTATATACATATTCAATTTCATCAAAAAACAACCACTTCCTCCATGGTGCTTTGATTTTTTTTGCGAAAGAGAGTATTTCAGAGTATGAATTATCCATTGACTTGTGCTTTGCACTACAGTGTCTGATGGGATTTCTGCACAAACTACTAGAATCTTATCCAAGTGTGTCAAGGTTGCAATGGTTAACAACAATACGCTTCATTTTTTACTGTGCCTCATACAAAAAAAAATCAAGCAGCGTAAGGTGTGAAGAGCATACACGGAACTCAACTGGTTCCCTGCACCCTATCAAAATGTCCTAGTACATTTTGATCCAGGTATGCTATGTAGAGGAGAGGTGTCATCTTGCTGGTAATACCCTATCATTACCACATATTGCAAGAATGGCAAGGAAAATGGAATCACCAAGCAATGTTAAATACTCTTCTCCAGTTACAGTACCTTCAAAACAGAAAGACCCTATGATACCTTAGGAGACAAACCACACCAGGAAAATTCACAGCTTTTCAACAGTAATGTGGAGATTATTTTCAATCCATTACACACAATTATGCGTAGTGACATTTCCATTAAGTTTAAATTGTGCCTCATTTGACTAAGCAATGCTATCCATAAACCCCGAATCGCGTTTAAGCACCTTCTGATCTCGTTCACAAAGCTGTACCCAGCGATTAGGGTTATCATCACTTAGCTGTTGCCCCAGCCTTGGAATGTACCCTAAACTTGCCCTTTTTCAAAATGTATAGCACACTACTAGCACTTACACCACTCTCATGCAAGCCTTGCTTGACGATTGGTTTTGGTGAATGTTGAAACAGTTCCACCACCACAAATGAAGATTCATCACTTGTAGCCATACAAGGTTGGCCTGATTAGCTTTTATGCACATCACACATTGTTCCACGGACCTTAGATTTTTCTTGTACACATGTAATTATTACTCTTGAAAGCGGATTAGTCCCACACTCACACCTCCACTCTCTCTGAACTACAGCAATATTTTCAAACTTTCACTACCACTTAATAACCTGCATCTGCTCTTGAAAGCTCAAACATATGTCTGCTATGTTGATGTTACTTCACTTGACACTAACTGGATTGTACAGCTAGATCAATGACTGCTGTTACCTACTGAGGAAACATAACATTACGTTTTCTTAGAAATTTAATTTTGTAGGTAGGAAAATAAATTTTCTATGACAGTTCAAAGTATGTATACATTTTTCTGATGCACACTGCACATTACATTTAGAAGTTCACCTTGGATATTGCAGAATCTTAGCAGAAATTTTACTTTATTTCCATTTTAAATTTTGCTCGTGAGGATAAAAGACTTACCTTATTTTCATTCCCTGGATCTCTATACAACATTTTTTCAACTTCTCCATTTTGGGCACTTTTGACATAGACAGGAACAGCTTGGTTGGTCAGTTTCTAAATAATAATTTTGATTAATTTCAGAACTTATAAAATATTCAGATTATTCAATTAAAGAGTAAAGGAAAAAGATATACAGAAATATTAAAATCAATCAACATAAAAACATTACCGAGATTTTAATTATAAATCTAAATCACTAAAATTTAAATATAAGGCTTACTTGATTTTCAGAAATGTAAAACATAAATAAGTGCCAACCACCTGCATACAATGACAGGCACAAAGTTTAAAACACCTAGCATGGAAGTATTTTTTAAGAAATGACTCAGTCATTATTTTTAAATAATAAAACTTTTTATTCCTTACCACAAATTATTGAATGCAAATATCAGGGGGGGGGGGGGGATAACTGCAGCCAAGAAATTTTTTCAAAACTTGAATGTACAAACATTCACTTCAATGGAAGCATTAGTAGAATGCCTGTCTTACATGTACATCACAGACAGTCCATTATATCATACTGAATAGCTTGTATTATCCAGAAATGCTGACCTTACAGAAACACTTAAATAATGCAGAAAAATGGAGTTGGAGGATAAAACATTTTCCAAAAAGGTTGTGGTTTGATGAAAATTTTTCTCTGATCAAAGAAACACAAGTATTTGCATTCGAGCACACTTTTTACAAAATGCAGCATCACACTAAATAGTCAAAAGATGCTTTAATTTCTATTTGCATGAGATCACCTGTGTATGCTGCCCCACAAGATATTACTTCACATATGTCTTTTATAAAGAATATACTAACATCCTCTAACAACAAAATTCAGTTGTTGCAAGTTTTATACATGTGATATGATTCTTCCACAAACGTTTTTGAAAGAGTTATACATTTCATATTATGGTGGTATAACTACGAGGGTATACTTTGAGCTTACATTACTGCAGTGGCTCTCAAGTTTTTTTGCCCCATGCAACTCCAAAACTGAAAAATGCATATACATCTACTTAAATTTAGATTATTTTTAATGTTCTTTTAAGTAAACCAAAGTATAGAAAATGTTGATAAAACTTGAATAAGAATAATTTTTTATATACATAAACTAAAACAAGTTTAAGAGTAAAAGGCTGACCACATCCCACACATGAAACCATGAAAATTTTCCCCCAAGGGGAAATTTCAACCTGGCTGAGAACCCCTGTGCTATTGGGTATATATATTTCAGCCCATTCCATACATGTCATATATATACATTTTAGGGAAGAAGCATCATAAGTAGAACTTGATGATAGAGTTATTTTATTTTTATTAACAAGTACATAAAACTTGTTAATAAATAAAATAATATGTTAGAATATGGATACATATTAGCTTCAATCATTAAAACATTTGTATAAAAAATAAATATATTAAAACACCAGGAACATTAAACTGCAGTTCTGACAAGATCTTCTCTCGGAATATCTTTCGCTAGTCAAGTCATGAAGAAAGAAAGAAAGACCAATCAAAGAGTACCAATGCAAACATTTATAGTGAACTATAGTTTTACAGTATAAAGCTATATGGCTTGTCATATACCTACATATGCATACCCGCAATGGAAAAACTCATCCTTCAGAACATAACTACAAAAAACAGTGTGGAAATTCTACATGCTGGCTGTAATCTCCTATTCCTAGTAATTGTCTCTATAAGGAGATAAACACTAGTTGTGCATACTTATTACATCTGGACTGAAAGACTTCTCCATTTTGGGCACTTTTGACATAGACAGATGTGTTTAAATAGCTAGTGCAGTACATATATCTTACGTTCAATTTCACATACATCCATTTCTATCCATTGACCTATAAGCAAAATACATATTGGCCATCTCAGCCTAGTATAATATCATTATACTAGGCTGAGATGACTCAGATGTCATCTCAAGTCAATGACTCAGATGGTAGTAATATTTAATTTATTATTTAACAACACCTTTTAGCACCTTTAGCTGGCATTTCTTGACACATGGTCCAACAAAAGTATGATTTTTTTAGTATTCTGGATATATCAAGGAAATTCGGAACATGGCTTTTGTAATACTTAATCTAGAGGAATAAAAGTAAACAGGCAATTCAGTTTATTATGAAAAACACATATCATAGATAATTCTAGCTGTGTTACAGTAGTTTTCCCTTCCCTATGTTTCAGAAATCTCCACCAACAGAATTAATATTTTCACTTAATTACATATTAACCTGTCATTTACTATTCTTTGGAATTCAGTTTTTTTCACATCTGCAGATACAAAAATCTCCTTACTGACTATAAAATTCTTAATATTTTAGCTTGTGTTGCAACATACAAATGATAAACATAAGAGGTCAATATTTAATATATGATTTGATTTAGTTGATTATGGCAAAGCACACTAGGGCTATCTGCCTAAAGGGATGCCATTGTAGAGAACATTTTAAGGGAAACTGGCTCATATACAAGTTACACATGAGGAAAATCATGAAAATGCCCAAGCAGCTAGCATGTTCGCCTGTAATCAAACCCAGGTCATACCTACCACTGTTCAGCGATTTTACCGCTCGCCCATTGGTGGGCACATTTAATATACGAAAAAATTCTGAAGTCTTACATATTAACTGTGTTACTGCAAATGAAATTCCAGTTTGCATAGACACCTACATGGTGTGGTTATTAAATAATGAGATTGATCTCTGTCCATAACATACAGTAATGAACAGCTCACATTAGATGAATTCATTAGAGAGAAGAAAAAGACAGCTGTTGCTTTCACTCAAAATCAATCTGAGAGCAGTAATTGAAAGGACAAGGGTGGAAGCTTCGTCATGTCTGATGCTAAAAAGCAAGCAATGGTACCTTTTGAACCTTTTTTTGTTTCAACCTTTTGAAATTTTAAAGAAAAATTTCCAAAGGAAAGGAAAAGTATGGTAGGCCATTATACATTCAGTATAAAGGTGAAATATGTTGTTTTGTATACATCTAAAAATAAATAAAAATTGATTTTTCTCGAAACTTTTATGTTGGTCATTTAAAAAAAAAATTGGAGTTGGGGGGAGGGTAAAGTAAACAAAAAATAAAATATGGAAGAAAATATGCACATTCAGATTTTATCACCAGCTTTTTTTCCCTTGTAAACCAGTGATTTTATCACTAAGATTTTAAAAACCTCAACAAATTAATTCAAATAACATACACAACTATGTTCACTCCACCTTCTAATATTACAAGAAACATATATATTACTAGAACTTGAAGCTCTTGCTCATTTTTTAAAGTTGTGCATTATTCTTTTGCAAACATGGAAATTAAAACTTTTTTTACAACTATGTAAAACTCAAACTAAATTGGCAAGTTCAATGTTACTTGTAGATTCCTTCAATTTTAGAAAATAATATATACTAAGATATCTGTTAACGAAATTTGAATATTCTATTTGCATGACTAACTATAAACTACAAAAATTTGTGTCTCAGATATTTTAGAGGAATATTACTGCAAAATATGTAACTGTAAGATTATACATATTATAACTCTAATACATAACAACAGCTAGTAGAAGTACAGAATAAACAATGTTTAGCTATCTTGTTATAATTATTTCCATTTATCTAACATATAAATGTTATAATTACTATGCAAACTTATTTTTCTGAAGATATTACCTGTATTGCATCTTTGGTATCTAGGCAAAAATTACAGTCTCCAAAAATAAAGAATGGTACTTTCTCATATTGGTCAGTAGAAAACCTGTAATATATCAGTTTTATAACTTGTAATATATCATTATCTAAAATAGATACTAAAAAAAAAAAAAAAAACATCCAAGACAAATTGCAAAACGGCTATGAGATAATATTACAACAACTTTTTTAGTGTAACACAGTCTTAGAAATTTGAAATAATAACATAAAATTGTATAATAAAAAATAATAAAATTAAATGCCTCAGCTATAAATATGAAACTGATCAATTTGTCACAAATTTAAAATAACTATATACACAGTAGCATATTTAAAAGAACAAAATGCATAATCCAACTTGATGTAACCTTCAAATATGAACAAATAAAAATAAACAAACATAAAGGATCATAACACTATGCTCAATAACTAATGCTAATATCAGAAATTATTTTTAAATACTCAAGAAAGAATACTGTTCTCTTTTATTTTCAAAAACTTTTTTTTATAATTATATTCTGTATACAAGGGGGGGGGAACAGCAATGATTGTTTTATGCAGTCAATATAGAATAAGAACATTCTATTTCCTATATTTTGAATAGCTTGCTCCTTTCATCATTTTCGTATTTTTGTTTATATTTTTTCTATTCTTTTGCAATATCTAAAAACAAAATAAATTACTGGCCCTCATCAAGGGTGGTAAAGTTACAAATAATATTTAATAATTATAAATGAGAGATTAATTAGTCAACAATAAGCATGCTTTATAAAGCCTGCCTGATATGAATGACCATTAAGTTTTTGCAGCTAAATTAAGAAACAGACTTCTTCATGAATTTACCATGCCCCTTGTCAAATACATTTCAAACATCTTAATGTGGATGCACAAACATTTGCGGCATTTCTCTATAATGAACAGTTATTATATACTAAAATAAATTCCAGTACTTACATAGTAAAACTTATGTTTTCCACAAATTGTACAGAAACTTAATGTAAACTTTCTCCATAAAGCAAATTTCTTCAATGCACAGAATTTAATAAGAAAAACTTGTTTTTGAATGATAATGAAACCATTTCTTGACTTTTTCCCTTCCCTAGCAATTGAAGTCTGATATTATCCCTAAAAGTCATGAATCAATCCCTGAGGTCATGTCACACAACCAACTTCACACAATCCATAAATGTGGAGTAATTTGCATTTCCATGGTCTTTTGAATGAATTAGTCACCTTCACTTCACTTCTTAGCATTTAAAAACACACTTTCAAGAAAATTTATTTCAGCAGTATATCCTACATTTTTATTTGTAATTAAATAAACCTGAACTGCTTCCCTTTTTCTATTTTTGCTGATTCAAGAAATCTGAAACACTTGCCATTCAGAAATTAAAAGGTAATATTTTAATATCATTTGGACTGCATCACTAATAACATTTCCAGATATTTCTATCATTGGAAGAAAGAGAAATATAGTCATAATCATGGGAAAAAATTATCGTTTCTTTTTCAAGTGCAGATGTACAATCTAATTCACTAACGGAACTGTATGGTTTTATGTCAGCATCACTTAATCCATGAATGCCTATATCATTTCAATTGCCACAATATCATAGGTTAAATTAATTATGATTAACTTTTTGCTTTTAATTATGCTTTAACAGGTTCAGCATTACTACTATGCCCAAGACATTATTATTTAATTAAAAAGCATTATTATTTAATTAAATACTTATATGCATATCTATGAAGAATCCGAGATTTTCTTCAAATGTAATTAGTCAAACAATTTTTCAGCACGAAATTTTTCATAGTCCTTTCAATTCAGACAAACTTTGATGAGCATCCTTGAACTGAAGGGATTAAGAAGTCCCTTCAATTCAGCTCATTAAAATTTGATTGAATGCAAGGTTTTTTAATCTGCAGATTTTATAGGTGTTTTGTCTTATGAAATACTCACCACCTAACTACCCAAATGAATGAGCTATTTGGCATTCTATAATATTAAGAATATATGATAATTTTCCTCCTGAAAATGATCTTCTGGAAAATCTATTTAAACATTTAAGAATATATTTCAATAGTTAATAACTTCAAACCTCTGAAATAAAACTTTATATATTTGCTTTCCTTACAGTATGGTATTTAGATAAATTAACTATCTTCCTTGTAGAATGTATAAGTTATCTTTTGCATAATACGTTATTCTTAGTCCTAGAATCTTTCAAAAAATATGGGATTATCATATGTGAGGCCAATTAACTTGTAAGGATTTTATGTTTTACTAAAGTTTATTTTATTTTAAAACTTTAGTGTCTTCTCTTATTTTCCACTTCCGGCCAGAATAAACGTGGTTAGTTTTAGTATGCAAATTGAGCTTGCAAACTATTAAGTATTTAAGTTGTGGCTTTTAGCCAAGAAGGAGTTAAGAGAGAGGAGAGACTTCTCGCCACCTTATTTCATGCACGCTTTTCAGTCAGTTGCTGTCCACCTTTCAGGCCAGAAATTTAGTCCTCTTGATATTGAAGACATACTGTAGTTTTCCCGCATTTGTGTATTACATACGTAAAGACCTAAAAGGCCAATCTTAGTGATACTAGTCTTTGTATAGTATTTGAGTTTAGCTCTTATTTAAATTTAGTTAGTTTGTAGTTCTTATTTTTTTAGTTCAGACCA